CAGACTAGCTTGGTAAGTCATCTTAGATGAACTTGCCATCCAACCCACTGTCAAAAGTCAACTTCACCCACTGTCCATACTGGAAGAGAAGAGGAAAGGTCCTCTGGACGGGCGACCTGTGCGAGAGCAGGGGGAAAAATCGTCTTCAAAAAGGTGCCAAGGTTGGAGCTGGGTCCACGAATCAAGGAGACCCACCCGACTTAGGCCATCCGAGGGGTTGGAGTGGCTATCAATCCACTCGAACCATACTCGAATCCGAAAATGCTGTAGCAAATAATGCGCAAGTTGAACCATGGTGTGGACATCTGCCTGAGAGCTCCCGCCCCGAAACAGGGAAGCCACTACAGCTTCGTTGTCCACAAACCACAATACATCCAAGTCGGCCAGAGCGTGTCCATGGAACCAGGGAACCAGCAGTCCACACAAGGTTTCACCCGGGTAGATCTGCTGGCTGCGGGGTTGCCATGAGCTGATGACCCGCTGGGGGACTGTGCAGGTCACCCCACAGGGGGTGTCAGTTCGCCACATGATCACCCAGCCCAGCCGGAGTGTATCATTCTCAAATGACGCATCAGAGTAGATGATCAGGGGTGTTGCTGGTTTAGACCGGACAGAGATGACCCGCGGTTCGGGGCAAGCCACAATGGCCGCGAGAAGCCGCAGTGTCAGGCAATCATCCCTGGAAAGATCTGGAGATGCCGCTTTCTGTTTGGCTGCGAGCAACGGTCCCCCAATACGGCTTGCATAGCCAGCGCACATGGAAAACATCCAGTTGAGGTCGCCCCGGAGCTTGCCGGCATCATCAGGGGAGAGACTGGATGTGTCCAGGGCAGCACGCAGTTTCTTTAAAATCTTGGTGGATGTGGAAAACTTGGGTTGAAATCGGATCAAACCCTCATGAACGAAAGTCTCCAACATGGACGGATGTTTCGAGGTAATGTCGGTTGTGCCCCGGGGCGAACGACTTCGCAGGCTGTGGCGGTGCGCCTAACAACCTGAACGTCAGTTGCAAACCAACCTGGGACACATCATGATCCTGGATGAGATCGACGGCCAACTCGTCATCGAAGTACGCGGCCGCGAACCCAAGGAGGCATCGCCTCACAATGGCTACACCCAGTTGCGGAAACCTGTTAAAATTCCCAACTGCGCTCTCCAAGCCATAAACAAGTCCCTACATAGTGGTGAACCTCCAACCAACATGTGGGACGAAAATGGCCACATCTGAGTAGCAGAGGTGTTCGTCACATACAGGCAAACCCCTGTATGCCTCTGGGAGATCATCCGTGCCCAGACGGAGATCCAACCAGCTGGGAGGTGGTGTGCGGTCAAGATCAAATGCTGAGTCCACCATGCGAGCCACCGCAGCCACAAAGTCAACATTGACCGTGGAGATGGTCTCAGGCATCGTCGTATGGTGGTTGTGTCCACACTTTCTCGCATTGTCTATCGCCCCTTGTTGACCATCCGGCTGGATGATCAGGAAACGCTCAACCGCCCTCCATCCACCCTGTCCAAACAAGTCATCCATCACCTTCAGACTCCGCAACGGGCTGCAAAAGCCCTTATCAATCTCCTCCAAAGTAATCTGATGGATAGCATCACTGTGCAGAGGAGGCCTGCTATGCACTAGCCGGCGAACGTCTGCGTCTGCCGAGGGACCCAGCCACTCGGATAGAGCCGCTTTGCCTTCTTGTCTGACGGGTCTGAACACACCCGAATGGGCCAAAACTCCTAC